TTTGCATCCGTGTTCATTAAGGATATTGATCGGTAATTCTCCTTTTTAATGGGGTCTTTGTCTGGTTTTGGGATCAAGGTAATGGTGGCCTCATAAAACGAGTTTGGAAGTTTTTCTTCCATTTCTATTTTTTGGAACAGTTTCAGAAGAATAGGTATTAATTCTTCCTTAAATGTTTGGTAGAATTCCCCTGTGAAGCCATCTGGCCCTGGGCTTTTGTTTGTTGGGAGATTTTTGATGACTGCTTCAATTTCCTTAGTGGTTATAGGTCTGTTTAGGTTTTCTATTTCTTCCTGGTTCAGTTTTGGTAGTTGATACATCTCTAGGAATGCATCCATTTCTTCCAGATTATCTAATTTGCTGGCATATAGTTGTTCATAACATGTTCTTATAATTAATTGTATTTCTTTGTTGTTGGTTGTGATCTCTGCTCTTTCATTCATGATTTTAAGTCTGGCTAGGAGTTTATCAATCTTGTTAATTCTTTCAAAGAACCAACTCCTAGTTTCGTTGATCTGTTCTACTGTTCTTTTGGTTTCTATTTCATTGATTTCTGCTCTGATCTGTATTATTTCTGTTCTCCTGCTGGGTTTAGGCTTTATTTGCTGTTCTTTCTCAGCTCCTTCAGGTGTAGGGTTAGGTTGTGTATTTGAGACCTTTCTTGTTTCTTGAGAAAAGCTTGTATTGCTATATACTTTCCTCTTAGGACTGCCTTTGCTGCATCCCAAAGGTTTTGAACCGTTGTGTTTTCATTTTCATTGGTTTACATGAGTTTTTTTAATTCTTCTTTAATTTCCTGGTTGACCCATTCATTCTTTAGTAGGATGCTCTTTAGCCTCCATGTATTTGAGTTCTTTCCGACTTTCCTCTTGGGATTGAGTTCTAGTTTCAAAGCATTGTGGTCTGAAAATATGCAGGGAATGATCCCAATCTTTTGGTATCAGTTGAGATCTGATTTGTGACCCAGGATGTGATCTATTCTGTAGAATGTTCCATGGGCACTAGAGAAGAATGTGTATTCCATTGCTTTGGGATGGAATGTTCTGAATATGTCTGTGAAGTCCATTTGGTTCAGTGTGTCATTTAAAGTCTTTATTTTCTTGTTGATCTTTTGCTTAGATGATCTGTCCATTTCAGTGAGGGGGGTGTTAAAGTCCTCCACTATTATTGTATTGTTGTTGATATGTTTCTTTGCTTTTGTTATTAATTGGCTTATATAATTGGGTGCTCCCTTGTTAGGGGCATAGATGTTTACAATTGTTAGATCTTCTTGTTGGATAGACCCTTTAAGTATGATATAATGTCCTTCCTCATCTGTTATTATAGTTTTTGGTTCAAAAATTAATTTGTTTGATATAAGGATTGCCACCCCAGCTTTCTTTTGGTGTCCATTAGAATGGTAAATTGTTTTCCACCCCCTCATTTTCAATCTTGGGGTGTCTTTGGGTCTAAAATGAGTCCCTTGTAGACAGTATATTGATGGGTCTTGTTTTTTTATCCATTCTGATAGCCTGTGTCTTTTGATTGGGGCATTTAGCCCATTTACATTCAGGGTAACTATTGAAAGATATGAATTTAGTGCTATTTTATTGCCTTTAAGGTGAGTGTTACTGTATATTTTCTGTAATCCTTTCTGGTCTATGTTACTTTTAGGCTCTCTCTTTGCTTAGAGCACCGCTTTCAATATTTTTGGATGGCTGGTTTCGTGTTTCCAAATTCCTTTAGTTTTTGTTTGTCCTGGAAGACTTTTATCTCTCCTTCTGTTTTCAGTGACAGCCTAGCTGGACATAGTTTTCTTGGCTGCATATTTTTCTCATTTAGTGCTCTGAATATACCATGCCAGTCATTTCTGGCCTGCCAAGTTTCTGTGGACAATTCTGTTGCCAGTCTAATGTTTCTACCATTGTAGTTTACAGATCTCTTATCCCAAGCTTCTTTCAAGATTTTCTCTTTGTCTATGAGACTCGTAAGTTTTGCTATTAGATATCAGAGCATTGACCTATTTCTATTGATTTTGAGGAGGTTCTCTGTGCCTCCTGGATTTTGATGCCTGTTTCCTTCCCCAAATTAGGGAAGGTCTCTGCTATACTTTGCTCCAGTATACCTTCTGCCCCTCTCTCTCTTTCTTCTTCTTCTGGGATCCCAATTATACTAATATTGTTTTGTCTTATGGTATCACTTATCTCTCGAATTCTGCCCTCGTGATCCAGTAGTTGTTTATCTCTCTTTTTCTCAGGTTTTTTATTTTCCATCTTTTGGTCTTCTATATCACTAATTCTCTCATCTGCCTCATTTATCCCAGTAGTTAGAGCCTCCATTTTTAATTGCTCCTCATTAATAGCCTTTTTAATTTCGATTTGGCTAGATTTTAGTTGTTTTATTTCTGCAGAAATGGTTTGTTTAATATCTTCCATGCTTTTTTCAAGTCCAGCTAGTATCTTTAAAATCGTCATTTTGAACTCTGGTTCTGACATCTTACTAATGTCCATATTGATTAGGTCCCTGGCAGTTAGTACTGCTTCTTGTTCTTTTTTTTGAGGTGATTTTTTCCGTCTTGTCATTTTGTCAGAGGACAATAGATGAATGAAAGAACAAAATGCTAACAGGGTAACAATGACCCCCGAAAAATATACACTAATCAGAAGAGACCTGAAACTGTGGGAAAAGAAAGGGAAAGATAGAAAAAAGAAAGGAAAAAGAAAAAGATAGAAAACAAACAAACTAACAAATATAACAGAATATGATCAAATATGTCAGGCTGTTGCATAGATCAGTGTCACAAAGTATATTTTGGGCATATTTTCGTCTGTTAGAAGAAAGTGAGTCCTAAAATTTTAAAGAAAGAAAAACTTATATATGTAGAAAAGTAAGGGTAAATACGATGGAGGGATGGAATATGATTGTAAAGTTGAAAAGTATAAATGATTTTATAAAAGGAATTGGTATAATAAGAAGGTAGTTGAAAAAAGAAGAGGATTTAAAAAAAGAAAAAAAGGGAGAGAATATGATCAGGCAGGAGAGTAGAACAAAGCCATACACTAGAGATTTAGGGTGTATTTTGGTCTGGTGGAAGAAAGTGTATTCCAAAATTTTAAAGAGAGAGCAACTTATATATTTATATCAAAAATAAGGTTAACTAATATGAAGGGATACAGTATGACTCTTAGAATGAAAAATAAAAAGATTTTTTAAAAAAGGGATTGATCAGATATTGGTTGAAAAAGGGAAATAGAAAAATTTTAAAAAAATTAAAAAAATTAACTTTGTAAGACTAAAGAATCATGGCAGAATAACCATGAATTCTATGGGCAGTATTCCCCTATTCTGGAGTTCTTCTCTCTCATTGATGGGTAAACTTGGTCTTGGCGGGCTGTTCTTGCTTATTTTCTGGGGGAGGGGCCTGTTACAGTGGTTCTCAAATGTCTTTGTCGGAGGTGGAATTGCCCCGCCCTTGCTGGGGGCTTGGCTAAGTAATTTGCTCGTGTTTGCTCTCAAGAGCTTTTGTTCCCTGCAAGCTCTTGGTACAGCTGTGGAGGACCAGAGTGAAAATGGTGGCCTTCCAATCTCCACCTGGAGGAGTTGAGAACTCGGGGCCCTGCTCCTCAGTGCACCCCCAGAGAAAAGCAGTCAGCCACTCCCATCTCCGGCCGCACTCCGTGCTCAGCCGGCCTGTGACCAACTGTTTCTGTCTGTGGCACATGACCCTGTTTGGAGTCTCCAAACCCAGCAGATCTCTGCAGTGCGCTCCTTCGCCACTCCCCTCAGGGGGAGGACGGGGCGTCTCCCCGGATCTGCTGTTTGTTGGGTCCCTGCTGGAGGAGCTGTGGCCCGAACGTGTCACAGATCTTGGTTTACAGCAACCCGCAGCTGGGAGCCCACTCCTCGGCTCCATCTCTGCAGCCAGTTCCATGCTCGGATACCTGGGAGTTCTGCCGCACTCAGGTACCCCTGTCTTTCTGTGACCCAGAGGGTCCTGAGACCACAGTGTCCCAGCGAGTATTCCACCCCTCACTTAGCCACTGGAGTGACGTCCGTCACCAGAGCCACTTTCTAAAATTTCTGATTTTTTGTTCGGCTGCTCTATCACTTGCCAGGAGGGGCTTACGGAGGCCCCATCCCCCGCCGTCTATTTTCCCAAATATTGCCTTGGCAGCACATATCATATCAGCACATAGCAGATATTGCCTTGGATTCACTTCTCCGCACGTCCTACCTTCTAGAAAGAGGTCGCTTTTCTGTTCAGAGTTCCTGCTATTCTTTTCTTCGATTTCCTGTTGAGTTCGTAGGTGTTCGGATTGGTTTGATTCCTATCTAGCTGAATTCCTTGGACCAGATGTAATTTAGGTCTCCTACTCCTTCGCCATCTTGCTCTCCCTGAAACCTAAATTTTTGATATAACTGTTATGTTGGTGGAGAAAATGGAAATTAATTTCATGGCCGTTTTGAATTTGTCATTATTCTTATGGAGCAACTACTTCTAATTTTTGTTTAAAACCTTATTCTACATATCCTTTAACACGTTCTGATAGAAGTTCGGAAATTACCACAAATAGTACAAAATGCTTAGCATTGTTGTCAGAATTAAATTAAATTAGAGGTAAACGTAGTTTGTATAAAGCTTAATGCAAAATACATAAAGTATTATTGTCCTTTTTTCTAACTAGGAAACTGAAGTTTGGTTGTGATTCTTCCTTTGTTTATTGGGGCTTGCCACATGCTCCATGGGACATCCCAGTCTAATAATCTGTTACTTGTAGCACAAACAGATATGAATGATAAGTACTAGAAGAGCTGTTTGTACCAAAGCACGGACTAGCTGGAAGGCTTCTCTTATCCTGGGCTGTATTCAGAGTTGGCAGCCTCATAAAGTGTGAATGCTGAACCTAGAAATACTGAATAATGACAAATGTTGCTTTCCGAGCTCATAATATTTAAATGTATGTGCTATTGAGCTGCCTGAACTTCTATTAAAACACAGTTCTTTTAATTTCTATCACCAGGTAACCTTGGACGGGTAGACCAGGTTTCTGAATTTGAGTATGACTTATTCATTAGGCCGGATACCTGTAATCCACGCTTCCGAGTCTGGTTCAACTTTACTGTTGAAAATGTGAAAGAATCACAGGTGAGGGAAATATTGGATATCTTCAGTGTGGTTTTGGTAAGAATATTATGCTTTTGTTTTACTTTAGAAATCTCAATATAATGACCAGATTAGGAATATATTCTGGTATATCTCTAGGAATGATATAGTTCTAAGAGATATACAGAAATATGTATACTATGCTGGCTTTTGTTATCTGGTGGTCATTAAATAATACAAATAGATTATCTGTGAACAGAAAGTGTTCTTTACTGATTAAAGAATTATTATAATGTGCTGTGTTTCCTTGAGGAACCATTGAAAGTGACTTATGTTTATTATAGAGTGTGTTCTCTATATTATTTTTCTTTATAAAGATCTGTGAGGGACATTTCTCACAGGGCTCAGTTTCAGAAAAAGCTTTTCTTCTTTTGTACAAGGTGTTTATATCTTAAAAATAATATAATTCTTGTAACTCATCCTATTTCCCCCCTCTTTTTTTTTAATATGTTGGGAAACTCAGATCCAATTTTATAGCACTCACTAAATTTTTTGGCTTATATTTCTGTGTACTAATTTTTATTTCATTCTGATCGTATTAATCTGTCTGTAACCACAATTTCTTCATCAATTTTTTCAAACAGCATATTTTTTTTATAATCCTGTTCATATATTTTGAGTGAGAGAGTATTAATGAAAATAGAACTAAATGTATATGCCTTAATAAACATGTAATTCTAAGAAATCATCTATCATTCGATTTTATTAAGACAGCTAGTCATGGAAAACCGCACAAACTTTGTACATATAGTGATATGACTTTTTTTAAGCAGATGAAAGTGCAGCCCTATAACAGAATATCTATCTGCCTTCTTCCATCAGGTCATCTTTTTCTAGTATACTTGGGGGAAAGGGAGAGTTGGTTTAATTTTCCCTCTCAAGTCAGTCCATCCTGTTTGCTCTTTCAATTGGTTGCTTACTTCTCGCCATTTTTCTCAACTTCAATTAGATTCATTTTTCTGGCAGTGGTCAGTGTCTTGAATTTACGGATTAGATTAACTCCTGTTACTGGCATGCTGCCTTCAGCAGGAGAGGGGTGCAAGGAACAGTCACTCCAATTTACTGTCTAGTCTCTTAATTCTCTACAACACCACTGGCACATGACTGTTTGTAATGACACAGGTGTATGTAATGTTTAATGAAGTTTAAGGGTTAACTGGAATTAATTAAATAGATGGGAGAACTCTATATTGTTGGCTAAACATGATTTGGGATAAGTGGGAAAAAATGTTAAATGCATACAGAAAGCTGCTTAAGGACATAACTTTAGTTCCTAGCTTTGCTTCTTAGTTTTACTTATACTTCCATGAGATAATTCATTTTTCAGCTTTTCCTAGTAAGAGTAACAATATTCTCCCCTTCACCCACCTTAGGAAAACCTACACTTTCCCTGACCAGGGGTTCACCTGACAATAGGAGTATCCTCGTGTTCCAATAAGACAGTTAGTAATTATCAAAATGCATTTTCCAAGTCTATGTTACCAAGTCTTAAGAGTATATAACTCACCGCAGGAGACTCTAGCCACATCTACAAGACTGAGTCTTGGCACTCCAACTTTGGGTCCCTTATCAAGCTCTCTCTGCTACCATCAGGTAGACATACAACCTCTTATTCTTCTGTTGGTGTCTCCTGTCAGTAACTTATGGTTGTAACATACACCACTGAGAAACAAATGATAATTCTGAAGCAATATAGTCAATTCATATGAAGGAAGGGAAACATTTTCTTAAAAGCAGTATAATCTGCCAGGATTTCTAATTTCCCAAAGGGGTTTACTGTTTTCCTCTTTATGCACAGCATATAAACATCCTTCAGCTTGCATATTGCTTCTAGGAATAGACTAAATCCTAAGAAATGAGACCTATTACTTTTCAAATAATAGAATCCTCTATCCTAATCATATCTTTGCTAAATAGAGCCTTAGTTAAAGCTCCAAAATTATTATGGTTCTTTAACTTTGGGCCACATTAAATTCTTAGCCCAGTTTTTCTTGCACTTTAGTCTCTGTACAAATAATATTCTTACATAGCTACTCTGGTTAGGAGGAGCAGTGAGGAGTGGTTTGACTAGACAGGGAAAATGTGTTTCTTTCTTTTCTTTTTTTGGGGGGGGGGCAGGGACAGAGATAGAGGGAGAGAAAGAATCTTAATCATGCTCCACGCCCAGAATGAAGCCCAACACAGGGCTCAATCTCACAACCCTGAGATCATGACCTGAGCTGAAATCAAGAGCCCATTGCTTAACCCACTGAGCCACCCAGGTGCCTAGGAAAATGTATTTCTTAAGTTATACTTTGTGAGATAGTTTTTTGGACAGGTTACTCATAAATTTCAGTTTCTTGTTCTTTGCTCTTCTAGTTGATGACAGGTATGTTCTTTTTGTTGTTTAAAATGTCTCTTCCAGAGTGTTATAATTTTTATACTATATGCTAAAGTCATACAGCCTCTTTTGCAGTCTTGCCTATCAGTTAAGGAAGTAACATGAATGTGTTCCAAGGGGTTATTCTAATAAGAGTTGGTGTTGTTTCTATGAATGCTTATTTTTAAAGTTGGAGGAACCAATATTTACTCTGACTCTCTGGGTTTCTCTCTTCATATCCAGTGCTATTCTACTGTTGTTACAATTAGAAATCATGAACATGTTTATCTGGTTTCCTGGAGTGTGATGCTTTATCAGCCTCTTTCTTTGGGCCATTGCTTCATCAACTGTAATCACATAATATAGTTATGGAAATCTGTCTCAAGATGGCATAAAGATCTGCTAGAAAGATACAATATATATCTCTCACTCACAGGATATTTGTTTTCATGGTTGTCTACATGAAAGAGAATGGTTTTACTATTAAGTTTGACTTGTAAGTTCTGTTTTTATAATGTCTCTTCCTATCATCTTTTCCATCTCTCTAATTTCCGTTAAAATGAGACCTTCATGAATGTAATCTAGTCAGGAACCTTATTTAGGGTTTAGTGCTAGGAAGCAAAAGAATTATTAGTCATCAAAGTCTGAGTCCATTAAATGAATGTTAAAAATTACAGCACCAAATATACCATATAAACAGGTCTAGCTCTTTGGTTATTTCCCTTGACATTTGTAAGAAGTGATAAAACTTGGAATATATGGTGCTGTATTGTAGGACTGATACATAAACCCTCAAAAGTGGTTGCTAAATAGTGTTTGCAGGAGTCTATGTAAACTAACATCAAGATACTTTTATTAGAAAGTAATTTTCTCTCTGAAAAACTTGTAATAAATATTCTTATGTGGAAATTTATTGATGCAGCAAAATACTTGTGTGATGTGAAAACAAATCTTTCTGTTTAAATACTCATGACAAAACTTCAGCCAATAAGAGTGGGAAAATAATATGTCTTGACTTTTAAACTCTGTTTTCTTTCCTTTATATTGTTTTAATCTCTTTGAATTAATTTTTCCTTTTTTTGATTCACTGATGCTCAATGTAGTAAATTTTGAAAATATAGACAATTATAATAAGCAGAGAAAAAGCACACACAAAATCTTACTATCTGGAAACAAAAATTAACTTTTTCGTATGTTTACTTCTAGGCTTTTTATTTCCTACTTTGTTTTTTGGAGCATAATTAAATTTTTTACCATATACAAATTTTTATGTTTTGCTTTTAAATTAACTAAATAGTATCACAAGCAATTTTCTGTCACTAAAAACTTCATAAACATGACTGTATAATAGCTTTATACTATTGGACCATTTCCTTCCTCTTGGGCATAAAGATTATTTTCCATTATCTGTTGTTATAAATAACACTGGAATGAATATCTTCATGTATGAAATGTTACCCATATTTCATTTTCCTTACTTAGGATAAATTCTTAGGAGGGGAATTGATAGATAAATGATATGAATATTTTTGAACTCTTCATACATATTCTATATTAGTACCAAAAAAATGATACTGTTTTACTGTCGTATCAGCAATGAGGTGCTTTTCCTTGAATTTCGTGTTTTGACTTGTTTCATGAGTTCAGTATTTCATATATTTAGAATAAAGTTTTTTCATCACTTACTTTGAAATTTTACACAAATAAATCGGATATACTTCAGTGTTTCAGGACTCTAGTCATAAAGGAATGAATTGCATTCCAGCAACAACATGAGATAACAAAACAGATCCATTTATTATTTTGGCTCTTTTTCTCAATTCAGCAATCCTCTTTAGTTTGAGTGTGCCAACCGACTGTCCTCTTAGGTATGTAATGGAAAATTTAAAAATAGAAGTTTTTTTTACACGATGAAGTATTTCTTACATTACTGTATGCAGTAATGTAGCTTAAACACACACACACACTTTATATATAACATGTCTGAATTGGACCTCAAAATTCCAACAGTTTGCTCTTCTTTAGTCTCCATCCTGGAGCGTTTAGGTTCAGTGAAACTTCATCCTGGGCAAAATCAACAGTGCACAGAGGCAGCATATCACAGTAGAAAGAGCACAGACAATGGATTAAAACACATTTGGGTTTATTTATTTATTTATTTATTTATTTATTTTTCTTTAAATTTTATTTTAAAGATTTTATTTATTTGACAGAGAGAGACACAGTGAGAGAGGGAACACAAGCAGGGGGAGTGGGAGAGGGAGAAGCAGGCTCCCCCCTGAGCAGGGAGCCCCATGCGGGGCTCAATCCCAGGACCCTGGGATCATGACCTGAGCCAAAGGCAGACGCTTAATGACTCAGCCACGCAGGCACCCCCACATTTGGGTTTAAATCCTGACTCTGATACTTGTGAGTTGTTTTACCCTTGATCAGTTAAATTAATCTCTTGATGACTCAGTTTTCTGTAAATACAATACTATAACTTCATGTGAGTGTTGTGAAAATTATGTGAGACAATTTATGCAAAGAACCTACCATGGTGTTTGGCAGATATCTAATAGGAGCTCAATACCTGTTGGCTATTATTTTTATTAAAACACCAGAATGGTAGAAATAATACTAA